TACATAGACCAGTAAAATAATTTGTTATTTTAAAGTTTATTTTCTTATACTAATTACTCCTAGTTTATATGTATCATCTAAATTGATTAGTCCTTAGCCACCCTAACTGCAGTGAGCTCCTATCTCATTATGGTTTTCATTTACATTTCCCTGAAGAATATATCTACTTTTAAAGTATTATTTCACCAATTGAGGTCATTGCCTCACAATTTGGAAGTACACATGTATGTGTGCACACACACATCATTATTTAATTACTTGACAGTGATTAACTGTTAGACCATAACCTCCATGAAAGTAGGGACTATGTCTGATCTCTACTATTGTGTCCTTGGTGCCTGGTATGTATTGCATATACTATAAATATCCATTGAATAAGTAAATAATTATTCAAAGAGGCACAATCATCAACAATGATGATGGTACATATTTGCTTTTATCCAATGAGAAGCTTGTTTATCTACAATTTTTTCATTATGAAAGATACAGGTTATACATTTGGATTTTGCTTCATTAAGGAATCATTAATGTTTATCTACAAAGACATATTCTATGCATTTATCAAATCAGGTGTGCAGTGGTGTGCTGGTTTGTGAGATGTCTAATTTTAATTGGGGAACAATCCTGTTAAAGCAAGGCAAGGGCAAAAGCTACTTATGCAATTGTTTAAGGAACCCACTTGTCTCTGAAATACTTCTAAAATTTGCCTGCATATAACCATTTCCTGGTTTTAGCACCAGGGTATGTAGTTCTAGGGTATTTGCATACTAGGTACTTTGCATCTTCCATCTGTAAAGATGACCTATAGAAATGACAGAGTTGAAGGACTGAACTCCTAGGTTGGTGGGGGCATTAGTGATTAAAATCTTGAGGAATAGAGTAACTCTGTGACACACCAGTCTCTTTATAAGTCACAGTGTTCTGTAGGAGGAAGCCTAAGCTTCCTGAAGGGTATTCTTCATGGGATCACCTAGGGCTTCTTCAACAGACGCCTGATGACATGGAACCTCCTTAGCAACACTAAAACACAGCTAAAAGATAACCTGTTCTTTCCAGAATAAAGATGTCTTCTGTCATGCAGTCAAAGAGGGTGGAAAAAGTTGTTTGTTAGTCTTTCAAACAAGATCAGCATTGTCAAAAATTTCCTCTGCTATTCCCTCACTCCCCTCTTCCCTGAAAGGATTTTTTAAAGCAATTGGGGCCATTATACTGCCCAGTTTTGGAGTGATTTTCCTGATCTTTTGTTTCAATGTCTGCTTTCTTCCCTCTATGTCCTTACTGAAGTCTGATTGTGAGATCAAGCTATAATTAGTTTGTATATGAAGTTTAATTCACTGTGGCTCTCTTGGCGTTAGACTCAAATGGGCTTTGATGTCTGGCTGGAGCTTTGATCTCAGACCCTCGAGTGGTGGTCATCACCCAAACTGAAAGGATTGCCCTTTACTCTTTTCCTTCTATTTGGAGACAGCTTTTCCCAATTACATCATTTGTGTTTGTTTGGCCATAAAAACTGCAAGGCGTCATTTTGTTGCTTTTCTCTATAGCAAAATGTGCAATTGATGCTCCTTACTTTGCCTATCTGCAATAGAATTCACTGCTGGATAAGGAATTTGTAGAATGACGCTTAGACTTTGGAGGGGGTGCTCTTAAGAGTTGTTCTGCCCAAGGGCAAAGCTTCAGACTGTGTGATGAACTGAGGGACCCTTTCTAGCTCTGCCAAGGAATTATATTGCTCACAGGCCACACAATGGTAGTATATTCAACCAAGAGGGTTTTTTCCCTTTAATGCTGCGCTTCAGATCTACTCTGTCTTTACTGCTGCACTTTCTGAGTGTCCACAAGCAGCTTTTCTGAGAAGACAGAGGCCTGGGGTGGGAGTGGGGGGCGGGGAAGCAAAAGAACAAAGTAGGGCTTGAAAGGAGATAATAAGTAGCACTCATGGAGGAAGAGGAACTAGTACCTGCTTTGAAAAGAAAGGGAAAGAAAAATGAAAAACAGAGGGGAAAGTGAGATATGTTGGCAACAGAAGGGAGCAGTGGGTGGTTACTTTCAACTGCTTCCCATCTACCTGCAACCAAAACAAAGAATCAAAGAGGAAAGAAAATCCAGGGAAGTAGACTGGAGAGGAGAATATTTGGCTGTTATGTTAAGAAGAAAATCGGGCAACTCAGCCAGTCACACTTAATCTGATGACATTGGGAGTTTTCCTGGAAAAACAATTACAGCATTGAGCTCCTTGTTTCTAACTTTATTTGACAGCCCGAGTTTAATTGGCATGTGAATGAACAGCATTATTTATTAATGGGTAAGGGATACTTTGGAAAGCATAATCTTTTTTCCTATTTGTGACCATTTCATTGGTTGAACCATCTCAGTACATTGGTTTTAATATTTAAACTTGCTGGAAACACTTTTTCATGGAGATGTACAAGCTGTTATGGCAAATGGTTTGCTTTGGACTAATGAGCCAGCTCAAAGTGGCATTTGGTGGGGAGGGAGGGCTGGGAAGGTGGGAAGGTTTGGAGACATAGTGACTTGTCTGTCTGCTTTAACAAGATTTATTGGTAGTGTGTAAAAACATGTCTCAGCTCCCCCCCAACTATATAAATATAGTTGTCAATGTGTGACATAACACAGGCCACAAAAATAGGCTCCACCCAGCCAGAAGGAATCTAATTCAAAACTAAAGAGCAAGATGCTGGTTTAGCAATGAGTAGAATGAAACAGTGACAGAGGATTGGGGGAGTGGCATTTGGCAGACAGGGTAAGTCATTGCTATTGATGCCTTACTAAAATTAAGGAGCAAAATTAGTTCCTGTATTATCAAAGTAGGGTCTGATACACAATAGTCATAAAGAAGAGGTGACCTGAATACAGTTTGTTTTTATATGTTTAGAAACACCTAAACATAACTTTATTTTTTTAGATCTAATGCAGAATCTTGTTAATTGAGAATCAAGGTTGTAGTTCCTTTCATGTCTGTGGGAGGTAGCAATGGGGAGGAGAGTGTGGGTAGCAAGGGAGCTTTGGCTTTTGGTTTTGTCTTTTTGGTAAACGACGACTTAATTCTATTTGTAGTAGGGATTACATAGGTACTATTAAATTGAAAAGTTAGCTAAAAAGTATGCTAATGAGAAACCAATTTCCTAGTAACATTCCTTCTCTTGAGTATCCCTCTAGCAATTATCAGTTGAATACTTGCAAGACACTGTACTGAGAGCAGTGATACTGATATTAAAACAGGGACTTTTTATATAATGTAGCTAGAGAGAATCGATTCATATACACACCTACATACATAGGTGTGTGTGTGTGTGTGTGTGTGTGTGTGCGCACAGATAAAGAACCAAACAATAGCATGTGGTTAGGACCAAATATTCATGCAGTTAAGGTGCTCAAAAGAAGGAAGTGAGCGAAGTGATTCTGGAAGGAACATCAGACCACACAGAGAGGGAGGAAAGAAAGGCTGCTTAGGGTAAGCAGTTGGAGGAAGGTGTAAGAGTCTGAAATAACGATAGGAGCTGCACTCCTTCACACAACACGACCTGAACTTCAGCACATTGTGGCTTGCTGGATTCAATTTCTAAGGTGCTTGGCTGCACTGCTTTAAAAAATGCATACGGGCGCCAGGCACCAGCGGCTCCCGCCTGTAATCCTAGCTACTGGGAGGATCGTGGTTCCAGGCCACTCCCAGGAAATATTTCTTGAGACCACCATCTCCCGAAAAACCGGAGCAAAATGGACCGGAGGTGTGCCTCAAGCGGTAGAACGCCTGCTTTGCAAGAGCAAAGCCCTGAGTTCAAACCCCAGCCCCTCCCACCCCCCAAAAGGCTTGCGGTACTGTTCCATGGACAAACTAGCTAGTGGTATTTCCTGATCCCTATTCCACAGAAGTTCCCTATGAGCAGTGTCCCAAACAGAGCTGACCATACCAAAAGTGATACTTAAAGGGGTAATTTTATAAGTTTCTCAGGAGGGAAAAAACAAAAAAGAGCTGCAACTTATATAACCCTTAAAATCTTGTGCCCAGCGTTGTAAGCGCACCCCCACCCCCCAATTCATATTACTGTAATTCCTACAACAGGCAGGATCGGTCAGTAGCTCCATTTTACTACTAGGGAAACAGGCACAGAGAAGGCACGTATCTTGTCTACACAGCTAGGGGGAAACGGATTCAAATTCAGACAGTCTGTTTTCACAGTCAGTGCTCTAGAATATACAGACTAAATAAAAAAAATCATAAGAAACAAAAAACCTAAATGTACATACTCATAAATCCCAGGTTTTAAAAAAGAATTGACGGAGCGGCTTGTCACACAGCGACAATCTCCTACCTAATTTTAAGTGCCTTCTATGGTAAGACTTCCGTTAAACATATTAGAACGTAAAGAGTTTTGAAACAATATTGCATCGTGCATCGCACTGCTTACTTTTACAAAATAGAGTTAGATCTCCCCCCCAACCTCAAAGCCGCAGAAATTGTCTTTGCACACGCCCCCCTCCCCTGCCCCAGCAATTTGCTCGGCAGGGTAAAAGCAAGCCGAATCGGAGTGTGGGGAAAGAGTTAAGACTGGATTGCAACTTGGTCGAGTTTCAGAAAGTTCTCTGGGGAGCCCAACTGCCGCGTCCCTCCGCGGACCCTGCCTGCGGGGCGGACTGTAAGAGGATGCTGGGGCTCCAGGCGCTTGGCCCGGGCTGCGGGCTCTGGGAAGAGCCAATGAGGAACGAGGAAAAGCCGGGTGCGGTGAACGGGGAAGGGGGCTCTGCCGCGAGGCGGCGGGCGGCGCGGGGGAGGAGACGGGGAGGGGCAGGAGGCCGGCGCGGAGGAGGAGGAGGAGGAGAAGGGGGAGGGGAAGGGGGAGGGGGAGGAGGAGGGGGTGGAGGGAAGGGGGAGGGGAAGGAAGGGGGGGGAGGAGGGGCCGCCCCGAGCGCAGCGCCGCGCCGCGCCGCGCGCCTGACAGCAGAGCGGAGCCGGGAGCGGGCGGCCGCGCAGAGGCGGGCGCCAGGCGGGGTGGCCGGGCCGCCGTGCGTGACGTAGCGCCGGCCAGGGCGTTATCAGCTGCGGGGCGCGCGGACAGCGGACGGACGGCGCCGCCCGGGCCGGGTCTGCTGCAGCCGGCTGCGGCGCGCGCGCGCGCGGGACCCGAGCGCTTGTGGCCTCCGCCCCGCCGCGGGGCAGCATGAGCCGGGCGTCCTCCGCCCGGGCGGCCCCGCTGCGGTGACGGGTGCTCGCTGTCGGGGTAGGGGCCATGAAGCCGAGCCCGGCCAGCGCGGCCAGGGAGCTGGAGCCGCAGGCACAGGCGCCGGCCCGGGGCGAACAGCGTGTGGCGGAGGCCGAGGGGCGCTGGCGGGAGAAGGGCGAGGCGGACACGGAGCGGCAGCGCACCCGAGAGCGCCAGGAGGCCACGCTGGCCGGGCTGGCGGAGCTGGAGTACCTGCGCCAGCGCCAGGAGCTGCTGGTCCGCGGTGCCCTGCGCTGCGCCGGGGGCGCGGGGACCGCGGCGCGGGGCGCCGGGGAGCTGCCGGGGGACGTGGCGCAGCGCAGCCGCCTGGAGGAGAAGTTCTTGGAGGAGAACATCTTGCTGCTGAGGAAGCAATTGGTAGGTCGTGCCCAGAGGTGGACACGGCTGTCCTGCCCCAGGGACGGAGGTGGGCGCGAGGTTGCATCTGGCTGGGGGAATTCTGTTAGGCGACCCCATCCCCGCCCCATACTTCCCTGACCACCTTTACTGCGTGTGCCCGCGACGAGTGGGCTGCCCACGCTTTTCTGGCATGTGCCTGCTTTGTGTCAGGTGAGGGGCTGACGACCCTGCGTGGATTGCGGGGACTGGGTGACCACTCCCCTAGCCTTCTTGCTTTCGGGCTGCTTGGAGTCGCTGGGGTCCGATCTTAAAAAGTCTCCTCACTTAGACGAGTGCATTGCCCTCTCCGCGGAGATTTGCGAAGCCCCACTTGAAATGCCATTTCATTTGGAGGTGTCCCTAGTTTCACCTCCTCCTGCCGAGAGGGGACAAAAGCGAGGAGGTGGCTTGTGGCGTGCCTAACTGTGCAAGCCCGAGTTTTCCGATTACCCTGAAGCGCCTGCAGGGAGGGGGCCCCTCCCAGGGCTCGCCCCCGTCAGCCAGCTTTCGCCTGGGCTGCTGCTTAGTGTCAAATAGTCCTTTGTATAAGGCTGTTAAAACTCGATGCAAATGATGGCAATTTGGCTGCGAAACGTGCCCCCTCCTCTCCTGTTTGGTATGCTTTGCCAGCTGTGATTGGTGACAGAGAAAGGAGAATCTGCTCTCGGGAGCATTTATCTTACTGGATTTCTGTCAGCATCGCAGTCATTCTATGCAGTCTTCATTAATGGAAAAGAAAAAGAACTTTGGACCTTAATGTGTTGAGAACAGCTTTTGACCCTGCCTCAGGATAATGGCGGCAGCTTTGTTTCAGTGACCTCAAAATGTAGTTTTGGAAACAGCAAAAAGATCCTTATCTGACCATGTGATACTATCTGAAAGTAGACACTCTGAATAATGGCCCTCTTTCATAAAGTGGTGACGATGCGCTGTTATTTCGTCATGCGTTTTCTTGCGTTATCTCTTTCGAGATTGTTTATTGAGCATCAAAGTGCTTTTATTTACTTGGTTCCTTTTTCCTTTAAAACACAAACCGTAAAATTGTATCAAATGAACATATGATTTACATCACCAGGCTTTCCAAGTCAAAAGGACTGAGAGGAGGAGTAGATACATGCATTTCCTGTAAGGATGTATGCTGTGGCTTGTGCAATAGCTCTGCTTTGGCATTTTACTGTGTTTCTTTGGTAACAGACCAGGTTTGTATATAACATTAATTCGATCCAATTCTCATTGGTTGTGCCTGGTCGTTGACATTTTAAGCATTGTCTTGTACAATAGCACCTTTTTGTCTTCATGAATCTCAAGATTGTGAGTGGCCCGTTCCTATTGTGCTTCAGGGGCGCTCGGCAGTATGTCAGGAGAATTCCATTCCAGTCAGTGTTTATAGTACTATTTTCATTTGTAGACTTGGCATTCATGATTTGAACCAGATGCCTTTTGAGTTCTTTTGCCTTTCCAGCAAATGGAAGCACTAGGTGGCGGTGTGAGTTAGCACAACCAATCTGTCATCTTTGGAAACCTGAGCTGAGTTCAAATCTTGAAGGGCCTTCCCCTGAGGGTTTTGGATTCTGCCAGCTCACATTATACTTGGCACTGGCTATTAGTATTAGTTTCTCACTTTCAAAGGCCCTAAGATTGATTAAACCCACAAAGCAACTAATAGAAAACAAAACTTTGCAGGCTAAGACATTTGGCTAGGAAACCTCACCTAGATAAGATTATAGTGTATTGTAGAAAATCTGTTACTCTGACTTCAAATTCAAGAGTCTACTGTGAAGAATTTTTTAAAAAATTGACTGTGCACCAGATGATTTAATGTCTGTATGCAGTTTTATTGTCCCTACCTATAAAAAGGCACAGTTGGTATGTATCAGTTAAAATAAAAAAACAAGTCTTGTATTTTAATGAAGAGAGTTTATATCACAAAATTTGGAGAAAATAGAATGAAAAATAGGACATATTCTTGAGGTTTTCCAATAAGATTTTGGTTTTAGAAGGTTTAGTGAACCTTTTAGATGGGTACTTTGAATACTTAGAGCAGACTTTCTGTTGTTTTGTTTTATTGTGTCACTACAGTGTGTCAAATTTTCCTTTCCCTGTTTTTTCCTAATCAGAATTGTTTGAGGAGAAGAGATGCTGGTTTGTTGAATCAGTTGCAAGAACTTGACAAGCAGATAAGTGACCTGAGACTGGATGTAGAAAAGACATCTGAAGAGCGCCTAGAGACAGACAGTCGACCTAGCTCAGGTGAGTGAGTGAGCATAGGGCTGAATTCTGCATTCATGGGTAACCCTACTGTGGTTAGCATTCCCAGACCTGCAAATGGTAATGGAGCTGGTTTCCAATGCAAAGAGAATGAAAAAGTAGCCTGCCATTCAGTTACATGACAGAGAAATAAAGTCAGATAACACAATTTTTAATAATGAGATTGAGCTGACCAGAGCCCCTGAATTTCAAAATAAAAGCTTCTATTCAAATTTCTGGAGGAGTAGTCTTTCTTTGAAACTTGAGAATGGAACTGGACTAGAAAATTAGTCACACTTCAACTTCCAGAGACTACTTCAAAAGTTGGTTCCCCCCCCACACCTTTCTTTTCAGCCATTTGGCTCCTTAAATAGATTTGTTTTTCTCTTAAGGTTATTCCTTCTGAAAATTCATGATAAAGTTGAGGCTCTTGAAGATCTAAGTTCCTTTCTTACACATCTTTAAAGGTGGGATGAAGGAAAAAGATCAATTTGAGAGTGAGAACTTTGAAATATACCCATAGTTGTATACTCTTTGCCTTTTCTTAAGGACTATTTGAAATAAAACTATAAAAAGTCCTGTGAAACAAAATTGCTGTCACTCCAAAACCCCAAACAACGAAAAAAAAACCTACAGAAAATACCTCCTTTCCTAGATGACTTATCCTTTTCCCTTTTAAGCATGAATGTGCATTTTTCCTTGACATGATCTTAATTCCAACCATCTTTTTATTTGTAGGGTTTTATGAGCTGAGTGATGGGGCTTCAGGATCTCTTTCTAATTCCTCTAACTCGGTATTCAGTGAGTGTCTATCCAGTTGTCATTCCAGCACCTGCTTTTGCAGCCCCTTGGAGGCAACCTTGACTATCTCAGATGGTTGCCCCAAATCTGCAGGTAAGAATTTTTAGCACTGACAGAAATTTTAACTAGAAGGGGCTAACAGCCCTTAAAGTTTTAAAAGTTATCTAGCTCCAACCCTCCCTCCCTTTTTTTTTTCTGTATTAGGGTTTGAACTCAGGGCCTACACCTTGAGCCACTCCACCAGCCCTTTCTTGTGATCAGTTTTTTGAGATAGGTTCTCATGAACTGTTTGCTCAGGCTGGCTTCAAACCACAATCCTCCTAATCTCTGCCTCCTGAGTAGCTAGGATTATAGGCATGAGCCACCGGCACCCAGTTGTTCCTTTTACTACTGGAAAAACAAAAGTTCATCAGTTTGCTGCACTTAATGCTATAGCTACATCTATAACCCCTAGTTTGATCTAGGTAAATATCTAGAACTAATCCAGTATGCTTTGGGTGCCACTTGGCTTTATATTCTAATAGTGGCAATACAACTTCAGAAAAACTGTCCCCAAATTATAGGGTATTGAGCTCTGTTTCTGAGCCTTTGCTGCTAGTTTAACTTGTTTGCATTTCCTTTTCTTTGGATGCTGGGGATTAAATCAGGACTTCATGCATGCTAACCACATGCTCTACCACTGAGTTGCACCCCAAACCCCAAGCCTCACTGTCTGCGGGTTTTTTTTTTTTTTTTTTTTTTTGTGGTTCTGGGGTTTGAACTCAGGGTCTCATGCTTGCTAGGCAGGTACTCTACCACTTGAGCTACTCCACATCCTTTTTTTGTGGTAGATATTTTCAAGATAGGATTTTGGGAACTATTTCCCCAAGCTGGCTTTGAACTGTGATCCTCTTGATATCTGCCTCCTGAGTAGCTAGGAATACAGGCATAAACCACCAGTGCCTGGCTTACATTTTCTTTTGAAAATCATTCTTGAACTGTTTTTTTCTTATTTTAATCACTTAAAGCTAAAGTGTACATTAAATTATATATGTCCCATCTGCTGGATTTGGTGGTATATTCCCATTAATTCCATCACTTGGGAGGCTGAGGCAGGAGGATGGCAAGTTCAGGGATAGCCCTGGCCACATATTGAGCCCCTGTCTCCAGAAACAAAGGGCTGGGATTATAGGTCAGTGGTAGAGAGCTCACCTAGCATGCTTAAGGCCCTGGGTTCAAACTCCAGTGCTGAAGAAAAAAAAAAAAAAAAGTCCATCTGCCTCGCAAGAACCCTTGGCAGTGGCCCCTGCTTGTTCTCAGAATGCCATGCAATATGGGATTCCCCCTAGCTCATGTGTCACAGTTCTTTGTTTTGAACTATCTTTGAAATGAGTTCTAGAGAGACTTGAGATGTTGTGAGTACTAGAAGAGTTTCTTCATTTTTACTGTGTCCCACACTACTGGATGCTCTGTATACATTTATTTCCTTTGAATCATTCCAACAGCTTTGCAGGGTATAGGTATTGTTAGTTCTATTTTATGTATCAAAAAGTGATGGCAACTGAGGTCATTTGAATTATTAAAGGCTATATAGCTAGTGAGAAGCTGAGGCATGATTTAAACTCAAGTCTCACTGCCAGATCCTTTTTTTCTACCATTGTGAAGGAATTCAGAAATTGTTCAGAAATTTTTGTATTCAGCCATCTCATCTAATAGAGGAGGAATTTTGGCTTATAAGCCATTGTCAGAAGCTACTCCATCTGCTGAATGGCAGAGTTGTTGCTGAAACTCAGTACTCCCTCCTTAGTCCTGTAATCCTGTGATTCCTTAAAAGAGCAGAGGAAATACAGAGATTAGAGCTGCTGTAGGTGCTGGCAAAAGTCAGGACACCTACTTTATCTTGTTTTTCACTGGGATACAAACTGAATTTTTGAGTCTAGGCAAGGCAAACAACTAGCAGCCAAGGTTGTTAATTGGTTGGTGTCTTTATACAGTGTGGTGTTAGCACCAGTCTCTTGGGAAAGTCAGGACTGTGTTACCTAGAGTGTCTGGGCTGCAAGTTCAGTGGTAATTGCTCCCTTCACTCTGCAGATCTGATTTCAGAGGAAAATTTTATAATCCCTTTAAAAGGCACCATGGTACAGGTTTTCCTTGAAGACAGACCCCTGGCTTTCCCAAATGCCACATCTCACATAATTGAGACAGTTGGGCTGGGCCTTGTAGGCTAGCATCTGTTTTGTTTGGCACTAAAATAGGGAAAAGGGGATAAATGGTGAAGCGTGGGCAAATGTGGCTTAATAAGGCAAGGCAGGAATTAGGGTGGTAGAAAGATGTTCTAGGCAGTTTCCTCTTAGAACAAGGTATTTATCAGGGTCAATATGGCATTTGTATTTTATTAGTCTTTTCTTTACACATTATATCATCATTGGGTCTAGACATTTTTTCCCTGAGACTGCTAATTAATGAAGTTCAGAGAGCTTTCCCTTAATTAACAAAGAATTTGGTGCATAGTAGATTCTCAATATTTGAATGAATAAATAGTTATATTGGAGGATAAGTCAATGATGAACTCAGCATTGATTTTCCTCTGATAACCAAAGGTTAAAAGGATTTGATAGTTATAATATTGATCAAGGAGAAAGATCAAAATGATTTAATTAAGAACTTGATTTCTACATTTTTAAAATGTAAGAAATTTATCCATTAATACTATTACTCAACTCTTTATAATCTTATCAAGAATTCCTATTTATTTAATTTTTTGGGGGTGGAATTGGGGTTTGAACTCAGGGCTTTGTGCTCTACTGCTTGAGCCACACCTCCAGTCCATTTTGCTGTGGTTTTTTTTTTTTTTTTTTGGGAAATGGAGTCTTGGGAAATATTTGCCCAAACTGGCTCTGAACAATGATCTTCCCAATCTGAGCCCAAGTAGCTAGGATTACAGGCTTGAGCCACCAGCACCCAGCTTCTTGTTGAGTTTTTGTTAAATATTTTTTCGTCATTCAGTAGTATATAAAGTTTATGTACATTGGTTGAATAGCTAGTGGAGTGTTTTTTAATCTTTTGGCATTCTCTCTTTGCCTATGAATTTGTCTTAATAAAAACTGGCCAGAGTCAAGCTGGTGCTACTCATTCATTTCTTCAGAGTGTACCTTTAAATGTTTTTCAGATCTCATAGGATGGTTGGAATGTAAAGAAGGCCACTGTGAAGACCAGGCCTCAGGGGCAATTTGCAATTCCCCCTCCACACCACAATTTAATCACCTTGATATCATTGCAGATGTGAATCCCAAGTACCAGTGCGATCTGGTGTCTAAAACCGGGAATGACGTTTATCGCTATCCCAGTCCACTTCATGCGGTGGCTGTGCAGAGCCCCATGTTTCTTCTTTGTCTGACCGGCAACCCTCTGAGGGAAGAGGAGAGGCTTGGCAGCCATGCCAGTGACATTTGCGTTGGATCTGAACTAGATGCCACCAAAACAGACAGTTCCTTATCATCCCCAAGCAGTCTGTGGTCTGCGTCCCATCCTTTATCCAGCAAGAAAATGGATGGCTACATTCTGAGCCTGGTGCAGAAGAAAACACACCCTGTAAGGACCAACAAACCCAGAACCAGTGTGAATGCCGACCCCACGAAAGGGCTTCTGAGGAATGGGAGTGTGTGTGTCAGAGCCACTGGTGGCATGCCCCAGGTCAGTGGTGTGACCCTTAAGAATGCCAAACAGGGGTGCTTGCCCTCTGGGGGAATTCCCTCTTTGGACAACGGGGTTTTCTCCCCTCTGAAGCAGTGGTCAAAAGACTCAAAGGCAGAGCAGCTGGAAGGCAAGAGGCTGCCACCACCTGAGGTCTGTGCAGAACCCCAAAGCAAACATGTCTCCCAGAACGCCAAGGCAGCCCACCAAGAGCATGCATGGTGTCCCACCACTGCAACTGAGGAGTGCCTTAAAGAAGGCAGTCAGCTCTCCGGTGCCCCTGAGAAAGAAAGCCCTGGCCGAAGTCCAGTCTCCCCACCAGAGAGCAAAGTCCCACAGCCACCGAAAAAGATGCTGCAGAAAAGCAGCCTGCAGGCCATCCCTGCGCCCGCACTGCCTCCGCTGCTGCCTCCAGCCTTCGCGGTAGAGGAGAGGCCGACCGTAGACTTCAAAAGCGAGGACTCTTCGCAGAGCCTAGAGGAAGGACACCTAGTCAAAGCTCAGTTCATCCCGGGGCAGCAGGCGGGCAGCAGGCTCCACCGCAGCCACCGCAACACGGGCGTGGCGAGAAGCTCCACCCTGAAGCACCGGAGCCAGGGACTGCAGGGGCTAGAGAGTGGCCTGCCCACCGTCAGGGAGAAGACCCGGGCAGCCAGCAAGAAGTGTCGCTTCCCTGATGACTTGGATACAAATAAGAAACTCAAGAAAGCCTCTTCCAAGGGCCGGAGGAGCGGGGGCGCACTGCCTGAGGCCGGTCTTCCGGGCAGGTCCCTGGGCGCAGGCGGCCACAGGGCGGGGCTCAGGGCGCACGGCCACGCGCGCGAGGCGGTGGTGGCCAAGCCGAAGCACAAGCGCACTGACTACCGACGCTGGAAGTCCTCGGCCGAGATCTCCTACGAAGAGGCGCTGCGGCGGGCTCGCAGGGCCCGCAGGGAGCCCGTGGGCATGTACCCCGTGCCCGTGGCGCTGCCCTACGCCAGTCCCTACGCCTACGTGGCCAGCGACTCCGAGTACTCGGCAGAGTGCGAGTCGCTCTTCCACTCCACCGTGGTGGACACCAGCGAGGACGAGCGCAGCAACTACACCACCAACTGCTTCGGCGACAGCGAGTCCAGCGTGAGCGAGGGCGAGTTCGTGGGCGAGAGCACCACCACCAGCGACTCCGAGGAGAGCGGGGGCCTCATCTGGTCCCAGTTTGTCCAGACTCTGCCAATCCAGACAGTCCCGGGCCCGGACCTTCACAACAATGCCACGAAAACCTTTGTCAAAATCAAGGCCTCGCATAACCTCAAGAAGAAGATCCTCCGCTTTCGGTCTGGCTCTTTGAAACTCATGACCACAGTTTAAGTCTCATCGTTGGTGTAGAAAGTGTTCCCTCACCACCCACCCATTTCTGAAGGAAAAAAAAAAAAAAAGAAAATTCCTAATTTTTGTGTAATAACTGTCATAGGGTGCTTCTCTTTTATTAAGATAAAACCTAGTTAAATTGTGTCTCATCTTCGTTATACATGGACGCTAGTGCCTTTAACGGACGGTAACGGATGTGTTGCTAGCTAGAAGTCGGTATTGAGGTTTTAATGGTGGTGATAGTGAATGAATTTTAGGGTAGCAGCTGATTATTATTTTAAATTTTCTCAGCATCTGGCAAAGGTACTGGTTTTAATGGTCAAGTTTTTTTGGGATGGCAACTTTTGATATCAAAGTCAGGTGGGTGGAATTTTAGGACTTAAATTTGCTCTTTGTTCAGGGCAGTGTCTCCACAAGGGCTTTCCTGTTGAAGGGCATTACATATAGTTGTACAGTTTTGTGACGTAGGTAGAGAGGCAGTCATTGTTTCCTGTAAGTTTTTTGGTTTTTTCTTTTTGGAGTATAGTCTACATTTCTCAGATGTTTCTTCACCCTATTTTCATCTCTGAACTGTTCCGTTTATTGAACTCAGAACTTGTAGACCAGATCCTAAGTCCAGATATGGCAACCTGGATAGGGAGTCACAAAAACTTTTGCCACACTTGGTGCCTCGGCCCTGGTTACAGTAACCCCCTTTTGGGCCATATAACCAGTATAGTGATGCCTTTCTCTGCATCCCTGATTTGTAGCCAATACAATCATTTGTCCTTTGGAGGACGTGCCTTTGGTCCTCTGGTACAGAGAAATTCACTCTTGATGAACTTACTTTTGGGCATGACTCCATGCCCAGAATTGCTCACTGAGCACTGTGCCACCTAAGCATTGGCCTAAACGTTAGTGCAATCTAGTCCAGATTGGACCACTGACCCTATCTGGAAGGGCTTTTTTTTTTAAAAAAAATTTTTTTGGTGAACAGTATTGTGTAAAATTGCTTTTTATACCAATATATGCATGTTTTGTGCATGATTAGTATTTGTTTTGATATTACTGTTGTTAAATTTCTGTACGATATAAATGGTGTGTGTTTTTATATACCATTGTGTAAATTTAATATAACACATTATATGCTGTAATAAACAACTTGTTTTACTGCGGTTAAGTTTGTTATTTGGTTATAAAACCAGATGTTTACACTATAAATCTTGTGCTGCTTATTGGTGTTATTTATAAGATTTATATTACACCTAGCATTAGAATGTTATTTGCAATAATTAAGACAGATTTTAGTATTTGTGGAATGGGAGGCATAAGTAGGAGCTGGAACACATCAGCATACCCAGCTGTTGGTTGAGATGGGGGTCTCACTAACTTTCTGCCCAAACTGGCCTGGAACTAAGATCCTCCCGATCTCTCCCTCTTGAGTTGCTGGATTATAAGTATGAGCCACCATTACTGGCTAAGGAAAACATTTTTGAGAAGGGACCTCCCTATTTTTTGTTATAAAAGTTTAAAGGATAGCACAATAAACACTTGTACAGTCACCACCTAGATTCAACAGTTGCTAACATTTTGCTGTGTTTGCTTTAAATCTGTGTGCGTTCATGTAAATAAACCATAGTTCTGATAATATAGGTCAAAGACATTGGCACCCCCCTCCCCCATACTGCTACATTATTTTAAGGTAAGTTTCAGGTATCATGATATTTTATATACTTCTTATCTCTAGCAAGGGTTTCCTCTTTGGAACAGCAGATTATTTCTGTGAGGCCTAGACAGGTCACATCTCTTAGTAAGACAACTTTTTTTTTTTTCAACATGACATCTTTTTTTGCAACCTCTCGGATAACTCAATTCTTCAAAATGTAGAGTTGCTAGTCTTTTATAATTCATATGTTCTTATATGCAACTAGTCATTCTGCTTTCACTACACTGATTACCTGACTGCATCTAGACCACGCACAAGAGGGGATGATCTCATCATTTCTAAATGCTATGATCCCATCTCTTCGGGGCATGGTTATAAAGTTTATTGTATAAGGCAACTGACCTGCAGTCAGTTCTTGAGTCGTTTCCAAGTTCTCAACGGGCATTATTCTCGGAAGGGGACACTTCCTGGAAACCATCTTTTGAGTAATTACATTGTAGGTGATAACACCAAACTAAAAGAAGCATGAAAAACAGGATTTTCAAGGACCCTGGGTTTGTCCTAGTCCTCTGCTTGACCTCCACAGAGCCAGCAGTTATAGTACTTGGAAAATGGGGTTTTGTCCATTATTTTCAGTGATTTAATAGCTGCTGTTGTGAGACCTTTTTAAAAATATTTTCCCTTATTTTTAAAATTTACAAATGTTTATTGTCAAAAGAATGCATCCAAACAGTACACAAGTTTAAAAGTCTCTCCTGCCTCAATCCTTCCCAAATCCTTCTCTTCAATAATTTTGGTGTATATATTTCCATATTGTGTTACATGCACATACAAATACATAACCTTGGCACTTTTTCTTTAAAATGAAATCTCAAGCTGTATGTATTATTGTATAAACCGCACCCTACATTTCACAGAACTGTAAGCCAGATACCATTCCCCCATCTTTTCAGTGGGGTTCCAACTAATTGTTCATTGAGAAAAAAAATGCCAGATTTTATGGGCTGAGTTTACCTGGCTTGGAAAAATTCCAGCACTTAGGCACAAAGTATTACTCAGCATTGTACACTTACACACACATTGTGTTTCAAGTTTTCCCATGTGTTTCGTTATTTTGTGTGTGAGCGTACTTCCAGTGGGGTCAAAGGCATTCTGGAGCCTTGGTTAAGTGGTTTGCCATACAGAGAAGTTTTGTTTTTTAGATTCTGCTGCATGCCTGAAGATATTTCCAGGCCAAATCACTTTTTAAACTTATCTATTTTGGGGTTCCCTGAGAACAGGAATAAATTCAAATACTAAACCCATCTGAGGACAGGCTATGGTATGTATCCTCAGAGATCTTTCCCTGGGCAGTCTTCCTTGTTTTCATCCCGTGCCTGCCAGTGAGTTCCCCCTCCCCGCCCCAGGTTAATGGTTTAACCTTTCACTAAAGGTGTAGCCAGCTGTTCAGTGATCGCAGGAATATGGAGAAGTCTTAGTCCCAAATCCTTCTCTGTGGGGACAAGTTTAAGTTCCTGAGTGACTGTCAAAAACAAATTCTCTTGCCTATGGGACCAACAAATTCTCCCCCAGGCTCTCAAGGGTAGCCTGAACTATACACTTCAGAGGATATTTGTTAATGGTTATCCATCATTTCTAAATGTTTTGCAGTGATGACAGGTTTTCTTGTCCGCTATTATTTGTCCTTAGAGTCACCCATTGTCTTTTGTCAATAGTTGGATCCTCACTTGACCCTCTCTTTTGCACAACTTTGAGGTAAAATTGAAGTGCAATAAAATGCTTATTTAAAGTGTGCAATTTGATTCATATTGACATGTTTTGACACTTATGTAAAAAACAATATATATGTGTGTATTTATATATATATATACATATATATATATATATATATATATATATATATATATATATAATAGCTTCCTTGAGATCTTTCAAAATCTATCTCTCCTACTCCTTTCCCCGGGCACTATTGATCTGCTTTCTGTCACTATTGATTACTTTGTATTTTCTAGACTTCTATGAATGGAATTAAAGACTGTGCTCTTTTTTGCCTGAATCTTTCATTCAACATAATGATGTTGACATTTTGGGTTATTTCCAGGTTGGGGCTTTTGCAAATCTACAATGAACATTAATGCACAAGTCTTTGTGTAGTCAAGTGTCTTTGTTTCTCTTGGGTAAATACTTAGGAGTGGAGTATGTAGGTGTTATTTTTTTGAGAAAGTACAAAAACGTTTTTCAAGCTGATTGTGTTATTCAAAAACTCCTACATTCCTACCAACAGCATATGAGAGTCTGATTTGTTCTACAAACTCAGGGCCTCTTGCATGCTAGGCAAGTGCTCTATCATACTCCCAGTCTGCCTTTTACTTTTTAAAATAGTGTCTTATGAAGAACAAAAGTTTTAAATTTTGATTGGATACAATTTTCCATTTTCCCTTTCATGGTTCATCATTTTGGTGTCCCATCTTGGAAAACTTTGCCTAATCCAGTGTTGCAAAGATTTCTTCCTATGCTTTCTTCTAGAAGGTTTATGGGTTTTGGTTTACATGTAGGTCCTATATGTAACCTATTTGAGTGACCTGTTTTGAGTTAATTTTGTATATGATGTGAGGTAAAGGTAGATTTTTTTTTCTAACCAGCTATTGGCTAACACTCTGCTGAAATGGCTTTCCCCTCTGTCTTGTTATATTTATCAGAAAATCAATTTGTCATTTGTATAGCAGTGTATTTCTATGTTCTATTCTGTTGATCTATGTCTGCTTTTTTTTTCCCACCAATTCTGAAGTGTCTTGATATTTGGAGCTTCATATGAAGTCTTGAAACCAGATCCTCTAACTTTGCTCTTTTTTTCTTCTGCTTCTTTTTCTTCTTAATTCCTTTGATTATTCTAGGTCCTTTGCAAGTAGGTTGTCAATTTCTATGGGGGTGGGAGGGGAGGGAGGTCTGCTGAAAATTTTATTGGTATCCCATGTAGTATAGCTCATTCTAAGGATGGTGACATCTTCACAATAATCACTGCAAGTCTATCTTTCCATTATTTAGGTCCTCTTTAGTTTCCTTTAGCAATGTTTTATAGTTTTTAATGTGCAAGTCGAGATCATCTTTTGTTAGATTTATTCCTATGTATTTTATGGTTTTTGTCAAAGGTTGTGAATAGAGTTTTTAAATTTTCATTTTTAATTGTTTGCTGGTGGTATATAAAAATACAATTAATATTCGTCTATTAACTTTGAGCACAGCATCTTACTAACTTCACTTATTAGTTCTAACAAATTGTTTTGTAGAAGTCATCTTTTTATTTTATGTTTTATTAGTACATGTTAGTTGCACAGGGGGCAGGTGCTTTACCACTTGAGCCACTCCACCAGCCCTTCACAGGGGGGTTTGTATAGAAGTTGTCTTTTGATATTTTCTTGCAGTTCTGGAGTCTTTGTTAGTTTTTTTTAATCCATTCTCTTTCAGTTTGGATAATTTCTATTAATCTACATTTGTTTAATCTTTTGTTATCTCTATTCTGCTGTTGAGTCTATTCAGTGAATTAAAAAAAATTTCAGCTGCTATATTTTTCAGTTCAAAAGTTTTAAAATGGCTCTTTGTAAAAAAATTATTTTTATTAGCATATAATAGCCAAAATGGTTCTTCTTAAAAAGTATATTTCTCTACAGAGTATTTCTTCTTTTTTTGTGGTTCTGGGATTTGAATTCAGGGCCTCATGCTTGCTAGGCAGGCTGTCTACCAGTTGAGATATTCTACCAACCTTATTTTGTGTGGGGTATTTTCAAGAAACTATTTGCCCAGGGCTTGCTTCAAACTGCAAGTCTCCTGATCTCCGCCTCCGGAGTAGCTGGCTGATTGCTTTGGGAGAATGTTGGTGTTTTTGCTTCAGCAGACTATCATCTCCATTAGGTTCTCAAGTTGTGGTCAGTGGTTTAAATGCTGTTTGGGTCTGTTCTGCACATGCATCGTTATGTGGCTAGTTTGAGACTTAGTGGGGGTGGGTCATACCTCAAGTAAATTCTCAAAGCCTTTGTTACATTGATTTGTGTCTGTTCCTTTCATTCTTGGCTTAGATGTTTGACTGAGCCTAGGGTTCATACATAGAATTGGGAACCACTTTCTCTAGTTCTTTTCTGGAATTTCTCCCATACATGGCTTCCATGTGGTTAATATTTCTTGTTCCTCTGGCTAGAAAGACATGCTTCTATTGGAGTTTTAGCAGAGAGGTCGTACTGCTCTGAAACAGGTTTGCCTTCAAGATAAAACTGTTTAAGAATAGAAAAAAAATGGAGAAGGAACTCACCCATCCCCTCAGATCTACCTGCTTTTGTTTACTTTCACAGTCCTCAGGTAGTTTCTTCCACCCCATGTTTAATCTTGGCTGTGATTAGCAGGATGGATAGGCTAGGGAGG